TATAAAATTTTAACCAATTAAAGTTTATAAGTTATAGATTAATATGTATCAAAAATTTCAATTTTTTAAAAAATGTCCCAGAACCCCATTTTCCTAGCAAACTTCCCATATGATTATAACATGACATATCTTAATGTGACTTATCAAATTATTCATAAATTTATATAATATAATGAATTGACATGAAGTAAATGTCTGTATCCTTAATTATCATACTTTGCAACTAAATTCCTATTGTCATAATGTTAGAGACTAATTTGTATAATAATTTTTGCTTCTTTAACATCTAAATAACATTTTTTTATTTATAGTTAAGCATATAAATATAATATTTTGATATTTTAGTACAATAAATAGTTAAATAGTAACTTAGCAAGTCATATAATAATTTTATAATGGACAAATATAACTTTGAATTGACCTTCAATAAGGTTTATTTGAAAAGATCTAGGATTTTGAGAGCAATCTTTTCAAACTGTTGGCAATATTTCACAAATGATGCATTTTTATGCTCCTAATTTTTATATTGAATGACAAATAGAATTTTATATATAAAAGCTTATCAATAGAAAAGGAGAAAATCTAAAAAAATTAAAATTTTACTTCATATGCTAAATATGATTTTTTTAGCAAAATAAGTTCAGATTTAACTTTAACTCATAAAAACTTTTTTTTTAGATTTCCTCCTTTCTATTGATAAGCTTTCATATAATTACTTTGATATCAATTCTCTCGTCATAAGAACCTCTGTATTATAAATAAAAAAATTAAATAAAATAAAAAATATTAAGCATATTTGTCACAATAATCAAAGAATCAAGTTGTGCATTCATAATCATGTATGTCTAAACTTTCGATTTATGATTCGTGTACACTTGGGCAAGAATTCACCTATGCTCTACCTGGGATTTACTAGTCAAAAGACATCCCTTCATTAGAAAAAAAAATATTCACCTTATTTATAATGCCTTTTCCCCTCGAAAAGCATTAACTCCAAGCATTTTGCATTTCTGGAGTATTTTTTTTATTGTTTCTTTATTTGTATTCTCCAGTTACATAGGTATAAAGAAATATTAGTCAGTGACAGTAATTTTCTTTATTGGAGTAGTAGACATAGGTTAATTCGAATTTTTGGATTTGAATTTAGAGTATAATTTACTTTATTGGTAAAAAAAAGACGGGGAAAATCAAATTGTTTATCATATAAATAAAATCTGCAAAATAGATGACATCATAATCGTCATGTATAATTGACAAACTGATATTTTATATCTTACAAAAGCCTATTTCAAAAAATATATAGAGTTAATAATTATTTGACTTGAACTTCGACAACCGCTTTAATGTAACTTAAAATCAATGTCATAAGATAATATTTAATTAGGAAAATTTTTTTCTTTAGTATGTTTCAAAAAAGAATTCTGTTATAGCTTTCTTTAGGTTATTGTGGATTCATTTAACTTTTTATATTCTTTGAATGCTAATTAAATACAAATTTATTGAATTTCGGAATTTTTAATGGAAGCGCCTCCAATTTGTCAGTTGAAAAAAGCACGTGAAATTAGAGCCAAAAGTCAGGAAAAATGAAGTGGATAGGCAACGAAATAAATTAACAGCTGTAATTCAACAATTATCTGATAAAGAGGTCCCAGCAGCTAATCACCTTATTACAACTATGCGTTATCCAAAAAGGTTAAACGAAGGATAAGAAGTTGCATCAAATATTTTTAGTTGTATCATTATGGGTTCGGACATTTATTGCCACATGATTTACATGAAAAAAGAGTAAACTTTTATATGGGTCCATATAAAGTTTTGATTTAATTAGTTGGCAGCGCATCCTAATAGTGCATGTATAACGAAGGAGTTGTGCATCGAAATTCGGTAATACATGTCCAGGTATTTTCAATAATGAAATTTGCTCGCAATCACATTGCTTCAAGCTTATATACAGTACTTTTTGAATAAAATATACATGGATCGACGTATATAGGCACTAAAAGTTTGGGCTGGTATGTTTTTTATACATTTTTTTTTTCGTGTGATCTTTGACCAAATTTGTATTAAAGTAGGAGTCATTATTTAACCAGAAAAAGGGGAGCCGAAAATCGACCGCAGAAAACCTAACTAAAGTTTTAGAGCAACCATCTATCTACTAAGCAATCTTTAGAAAATCCAACCAAAAAAAACACGGGGTATCTATTTTTTTTAGTGATTTAAAGATAAAAACAATTCAAACTGATTTTAAAAAAATATTTTTTTTAGATATAAAGTCAAAGATCAGCTGTGCCACATTGGTGTACAACCATATTTAAGCATTACAAACGAAAATTTCCTCATTTTTTTAAAAAAATTTTTCATAATGCAAAAATACACAGCTGAAGAAATTAAGGAGGAAATTGAGCTCGATGAAGATACTAACCAAGAAATTGATTACATTTCATTATTTGCTAAAGAAAAGTAATTTAATTTGAGCTCTAATAAATAAATAATATCCAAAAAAAAATTTTTTAATTGAATTATTTAAAAAAAAAATAAATTAGAAAAGGTGGTGGTGGTATACCAAAACGTGGCAGTAAAGATTTCGAACCAGATGGATCAGAGATCCAACGTGACACACTATCAAACTCATTAAATGCTCTTCAAAAAACATTAAGTGAAGAACGAAATGTATCAAGGTAAATAAATCTGTTCTCCACGTGACTTTTCGTACATTACTATACCTTATTGGTTTTTTTTGATACTTTTAAGTCGGCAATTATGTAAAGCAATTTGGCATCCGGCTCCAATATCTAAGGCAATGATTACTGTTAGTAAAGGATCGCATTTTCATAACATGGGACATGCTATAGAAGGAAATATGTGGTTATATCCTGAAGAGTGTTTGTTTTTAATGGACAGATGTTCGTTGAGCACACAATGCCATGATGTAGAGATGTCCATACAACATGCGTATTGCGAAATGATAGACGGGTGGTTAACGTTAGAGAAATATCAGGTAAGGGAACAAAAAAAAAGTTTTACGGAACTTATTAATTGATTAGGTTTTATTTCTTAGGTTTATGCTTATTTGAAAAGGATAGGTTTTACGGTATTAAGAACGAAATCTTCACAATCGACACAATCATCCTCAAGTATTGTGAGTACTTCCTCATTATACTCACATTTGCAATCAACATCGCGACCTCCTTCACACAAAAATTCCACATCTTATCAACTACTACCGCAACAATTACAACTTCCATGGGTTTTAAACCGAATAATTTCCTTCATCATTTCCCCATTCATATACTTTACAAATTCACTCATTTCATCAGTATCTTCAACTAGCATATCTACAAATGACAATACAATGAATCAAAGAGCAAAAATTTTAGTTGAATCTGGTGAATGTAAAACATATGGTAATCAATAATATTTCTAAATACCTCATAGTTTATGATCTGTTTTTTTTTATTAACTTTCCTCCTTCATTAAACGATAGAACAAGTATATAAGAAATTACAAATAATCGAATCATCTTCAATCACGTTACATTATAATTCCACCGTTGAAGATGATTATAATATCGATTTTTTGGTGTATAAAGAATCTGCACCTGGTAAATTCAAGAAAAAAAATCCCGGGCAACCTTTATTTCACGTTGTAGTAGCAAGGTAATTTTTTTTAAAAAAAAATAAACCCCCCTTATCATTGCATGAACGTTCACCATTGATATATTTTTTTATTTTTATTAGTGCTGAAACACAAAAACCTCCGTCTCCATCAACTCTCTACAATTTATTCACCTCATCACAAATTTCCTCTTCAGTTATAAAAAGTATCATATTCGCAATTGTAGATGGATCAAATATTTCATTTTTAGAATATAATGATATAAGTTTTAATAATGTGCATGTAAATTTAGTCAGTAACCATATTCCTGTTGAAAAGAAGAAAAAGAAGAAATAATGATCCTTAAAATGAACAAAAAATGTGACGCGCATTTATAGGTAGATATTACAAAATAAAAAATGATCGGAATCAATCTCCATGTCGCGAATGACGCTTAAATTTTCGGAATATCTTTTAGAATAGGTCATGTGAATGCACGGCTTCTCGAGATTGGGACTCAGTTTGCCTATACCCGGGTCTTTTTTCACACCTGTATTTATCACGTGATTTCTACTTTACCTTATAGATACTATTTTAATGACTCTCTTACGAATATCTATCATTTAAAACATGGAAGTTACAAAGAAAAGAATGGTTTATCATGAACGTCAAAGATTGTACTTCTGCGGTCAGGTAAGTTTATATAAAATACATAAAAGAATTCGTTATAAATTCAAATACTGCTTAATAAATTATATTGGCTTTAAACAGCACACGTTAAATAATCTAGTAAGTCATATTCTAATTCAATATATTTCATCATAATTCATTCGCTAACTTTTCTCTGAATTTATTTTTTTTGCATCATAGTTTCAAGATAAAGTTTTCACAAAGGAACAGCTTGACAATATCGCTCTAAAATTGGCCGAAAAAACTAGTTTAGAAATTTGGACGTGGAGTTCTTATTTTGTCAATCCACACAAAAGTCTTTTGTAAGTTTTTCATAATTTGTTGATAAGAAATTCTCATTTTCGTAAAATAATCGATCTTTTGAAATTTCATAGGGGTAATTATGATGTTAATGTTTTGGAAATGGCATTGAGGGAGAAAGATTTGGAAGTAAAATGGTTCGATGTTAGAAAAGGTATCGTCGTATAAAGTAAAAATGATTATGATGGAATTTTTTGTATCCCTAATTAAAATTTTTACCTTTTAGATATTCGATCCGTTATTCAATTCGCTGATAAATCTCTTTTTGGACTTATTTTAAACATTCCATCATCACGTTATTTTTGGACATCTTATCACTGGATTGCTATTAAACACTTTCAATATAACGAGGAACCTGCCGAAGTTTACAATCTGGATTCAAAGTTATACCTCCCTGAAAAATTCGAAAACTTGGAAAAGGTAATTTTATTTTTAATTGCGTAAAATTCATAAGAAATATTTATATTCAATTTACATAATAATAATAATATTTAGGTTTATAAATTTCTTGAATTTGTCTTGTATAAAAGTGGGAATATATTGCTTGTAAAAAAAGGAGTTGAATAAGTTTAATACCGAATTATTCTTTTTAAACAATGTTAGTGGCGCAGTTATTTTTTCAAAGACGCGTCTAATGTCATGTGATGTATATTTTATATTGACCGTGTTAACCTTAAAAGACAGTAATTTTTATTTATTATCGTGAAAATTTTTAAACGCGTTCTGTAAAATCTTGCTTAAACAATGGAAGAATCCACTACGGCTTTGACACCCACTATTCTTTCTTCTATGAAACGTTCTGAACTTCAAAAACTTTGTAGGAAGTATGGAATTAAGGCTAACGGAAAGGTAGGATTTATTTACAATTTTTCTATAAAAAAATAAATTCTTGTTATTATTAATGTTTTAAAATTGTTCTTGTATAGAATATAGACCTTAAGAAAAAATTGCAGCAATATGCATTAAATTCTGAAAGAAGTGATAGTGAAATGGAAGATATATTGATGACAGACGTTGACCAGGTTTCTGACTTAGATCAATCATCACGACGAAACCATAATTTATCAGAGCCCGTTACTCCCCAAACACCAAGCGCGATTCCATTGGAACAACAAAACAAAATTAGATCTCTAGTCGAAGAAACTCCATCAAAAGTAAAGTCAACTTATCAGAATGAAATTAAAGGAATCGAAGCTGTAATTGATATCCATGACTATAAAACGCCCATCACATCCTCAAGTAAATCTCCTACTACAAAACACTTGATTTCGACTAATGCTCCAGAACCATGTCTTTCTCTCATCCTTTATAATAAACCTATATTCCCTAATTTTGTTAAGGAACAAGAGGGTTTGTGATTTATCGTTATGTTATTCTTTTTGATAAATTATTAAAGCCATTATATATATATATATTAGATAACGCGTTCGTATCAAAGAAGGAAAGTGTAAATACTCAACAATTAGTTACTGATACTAATAACGTAACTGATACTAGTAACGTAATGAGTGATGGCACCTTAGAAATCGCAGAAAAGCAAAATACTGAGCAATTGACTTTAGGTACCTTTTTGAAGTACTTTTTAATTTATTTACGCGTCAATTATTTTTTTGATCTTTGACTTTACTATGGTTTTTTATGCTCACAAAAGATGGGAAGAACTGTTCGAATACAACAATTTTCCATCCTCCAAGTCCTGTCATTGAGACGATGGCGATAGATCATACATTTTCTACTTCCATTATGAATACAGAAATTAATATCTTTACTTCTCCATTAAACCGTTCTAGCGATTTGACACCAACTGGTAAATAGAATATTATTGATGCTATTTAAAATCATTCAAAAATACATTTATAGCATTTCTGTAATCACAAATTTGATATATAATTCATATAGTACCTCATACTCCTCCTGCGAAACATACCCGATCAGTAGAGACAGAGCGAGCGTCTACAAATCTTATGGCACGTCTCATTGCTACTCCAATTCGAAAATCTGGAGCTCATGCAATTTCTTTGGCAGCAAATCATGTGCCAATACATACTCCTAAAACTGAAGCTGGGCCTGCACTTGATAAAAATTCACCATTTGTCACAACGGAAACTAAAATGAAATTTGAATCTATGTTACATAACGCATTTTCAATTCAAGAGTGTGATGAAGATATCTTTTCAATTAAAGAATGTGATGAAGATATCAATAATCAAGGAGATCCAATGGAGATTTGTGATGAACGACCAAAATGCACAGAGGTTGTAGATGAGACTGTAAATGATGAGACTATAGATGTCCCATTAGTAAACGGTGTAAATACTGTTAATATTACTGCTTCCGTTTACGAAGAAATGGAAAAGCGGGTTGATCAATTAAGAGCTTTACCATCTCCTGAACGTAAGAAGATTTTAGAAACAGTTGACGTAATAACCGAAATTCCTATAACAACTCCTTTTAAAAATGATAACGAGGCATCTTTGGTTAAGCCAACTCCTTCATCAATTAACCGTTTCGCTCAACTTCATGAGAAAGTATTTTCTAAGATGCCATCAATTGCGACACATTATGCCGCTCAAAAAACAACTACTGTTGAGGAAAACCTAAACGAAGTTAATAAGAAGCGTAAAATTCCAGAAATTGTGCATTCCCCACTCAAGAAACAAAAATTGGTTACCAAACCAGTTATGAAAAAGACATATGATAAAAATAGAACAATGATTAATAATCGATCCTCGATGCGTCTTACTTCGACAAAAGGAAAAAGTGTTAATCAAACCGAAGTTCAATCGAACACAAGATCGATTCGAACTTCCTCTAGGTTAGAAGCACAAAAGAGTCTCAAGAAAACGTCGAGCTATACATCTCATAAAGGACCAGTTAAATCCATTATCACAAACTATGACGAGCAAAAAATGAAAGAACGCGAAGAATTCGAAAGGCGTAAGCAAGCTGCGAGAAATGGTATATTATTTTTTATTATTAATAAAAAACAGAATTTAATATGTATAACACAACTAATTTACAATATGCTTAACTCATTATATAAAAAAGTTGCTCAACCTGTCTTGGAAAAAATGAAGAATCGAAGGAAGACAAAAGAGAACGTTGAAAAAGTAGTACAAAATATTCAAGGCGTGGTTTCCGATAAAGTTGAAAAGAAATCATCTTCATTACCCAAAAAAGTTACCACTTTAGGACTTAGACAACAGAGTCAAAAGAAACCATAATTGTTACAATTAATTAACCTTTCAATTTCTTTGTCGGCTAAATATAATGAATTAGCACTAAAACATAATGTTTATCGCGTGTTATAGTATGAAATAATGTAAATTTAATCTTTTGAAGCTATTTGAATTTAGATCCTATATTTTAACCCTAAAAATAGAATTAGCAAGATGTCTTTATCAAATTTGATTAATAATGTATTAAAAAATAATTGAATGGTAAAGTTATCAGCTATTATAATAATAATTACAATAATTACTTAATTAATCAATTTAAATTACTAGCGATAATCTATAATAATATAAGAATATTATCCCTTTAAAGTTAGTTTTAGATATATTAAAAATTAAGTTATTAAACAAATAAAAAATTTTAAAAATTTTACATTAATAAGTAATTTTTTGTTTTAAGATCAAAGTTTTTTGAATATTTTTTAATGAAGTATTTTTTTTTTATAAAAGTGAAAAGTTATAATTTTATTTTTTTTATATTATTAAAAAAACTTTATAAAATATAAAAATATCTATAATTTAAAGTTAAAATTTTTGCATATATTTAATATTTTAATTAAAAAAATGAAATTTTTTTAAAATCAATAAATTTTATAATAAATTTTATAATGTATTTTAAAGAAAATTGTAAATTTCTATGTAGAATTTTGCGGTCATAATGATTGAAATGATATCAAATCACATGATTTTCATATATAAAAAAATTAAAAAACAAAAAATAAATGTCTCAGTCAATATTGCATTAGTTCTTATGATACAACCACCATTCAATTCTATGCGACTATACAGATCTAATGAACTAAATATTATTGATTTTGGATTAGCTAATATTAAAATAATTGTGATTGAATTATCAGCTGAAATAATAATTCAATAAATTCTACTTTAAATAAAGGAGTTCAAATTTTAAAAATACAATCACAATTATCACAAAATTGGCTGATCTATAATCAATGATAAAACATTTTAATTTTGAAAAGTTTAAAATTTGAAATAGTTGAAATAATGTCATATTACATGATTTTCATATATAAAAAAATAAAAAACAAAAGACTTATGATCTCAGTTAATATTGCTCTGTTTTTTATGATCTAATGAGCTAAGTAACTATTTTGACTATTTTGACTATTTTAATTAGTTAAAATAATTTATTTTAACTTTATGTATAAGTATAATCAAAATTGTATATAATAATACATTTGTTTTAAAATATATCTATATCATTATATTAAAATAATCTTTATTTAAAGCCCTATAAGAAATCGAAATAAGGAAATGATACGTTTTTTATAAGGTTTGTATACGTAATTAATGATTCTATA